TATAGGTATGTATATATATTTATAGGTATGTATATAATATGCAGATTTTTGTAATTGGTACTGGCAATTGGTCTTTGTGTAGGAGTATATCAGTATTAACGGATTTTTTTGATCGTGTTGATCTATACTGCATAAATTATATATATAGAGTTTCACATCGATAACTTTATTATTGTGTGCGTATCCAGCATAGCAGTTTGTGAATTTGTATATGCTCATACAATTTGAGTCTTGATGCTATATTTGTGCTCACATATAGAGTCATCGGAGTTCAACTGCAAACCTCGTCAATCGCACATTAATCTGCTGAAGTTCCTCAGCTGAAATCAAACATGTTCAAAAAATCCTTACGGCGTATTTATAATAGATTACATCGGCTGTTGTATTCCAAAAGTGTTCATCACCGCGTTACAGCAAACAAGTTCACGGCTTTGAGATTTGTTTCACATGTCCTACAACTCACCCGTGTCACCTCACATGCGACACAGAAACGTCTCTGCACTGGTTCAGCCATGGCAAAGGGCGCGAACTCATCGCTCTCAGTGATATGCGCGAAGCCAAAGCAATCAGTTCAGACGACACCCAACGTCTCTTCACCCTCAACATGCTTGACGGCAGCACCTTTTCCCTAGCGGCGCCCAACAAGGACAAGCGGGACAGTTGGCTGGAAGCCCTGAACACCTTTGCCGTACGTGATGTACCAGCGATTGACACTGTGGGCTCTATGAACTCGATACGGTCGGTGGCGTCGCTGACGTCTCTGTCCACCATGATATCCATAGCGGAGCAGAGGTTAGCACAGCGCAGTGTTAGTCTGAAGGAAGGTTTCATGCATCAACCGAATACACCCCTGGCCCAGCATCGCCAGTCCCAGGGATCTCTACGATCGAGCGGTGGTCTCGGCGTGGTCTCCTCTCCGCGCATGTCTGTGGGTGGGCCTATGTCCTTCTCTGCGGTGCAAACATTACCTCCCACAAGCGTGTACAACATATCGCTGGCTGTTCTTCTGAGGTACGTGGGCGGAGTGGCGTGCTTTGTGGCGGCTTGTTTGGCGCTGGGGTTGAGTCCGAGTGTTATCTTGGCGTGTGCGGGGACAGGCCTTTTGGCGTGCTCGCACCAGTTACAAAACCTGCAGGGCGGCAAGTACGCCTGTGTGAGTGTGGAGGTGACCACCGATGCAGACGACGGCGAGCTGGTCAAGATAGTCACACGTGTAGGTATGCCTCGCGACAGTGCCGAGGCTCAGAAGGCGAAGCACATCCGAGACAACGAGGCAGAGGTGCAGGTGCCGAGCGGTTCTAGCTTCAATGCACGATCGGCTACTAATACTAAGGATGAAGCCACGTGTTCCCGGGCTGTTGCTATAAGTGATACGAATACAACCACATCTGCGACCGGTGTATCTGAGGTGTCGAAGGCTTCTAATGTGTCGGATTCGCCACACGTGTGTGGGAGCAGCCGGAGTGTCGGTTCCACCAACTCAACGGCAACGTCTGATTCGGCTGTAGCTGTAGAGGCGGAAGAAGTTGAGCAGAAAGTAGACCCCAGAGATCCCGATGGCACCAGGATTCAGGCGGTACGTGTGTGTATTTATTCTGCAAATCACAAATAGGATTATCAGAAGTAGATTATTAGTATATGCGTACACACACACACACACACACACACACACACACACA